ATCAGCACTGATCCTCTATTAGCCTTCACTTCTACTACATGACTGGCCTACCGCCTCTTTGATAACATCTTTGAGAGGCAGCCAGGTGTTGCTGTGGATGGAGCACCAGCCCTGGAGTCAAGAGGATCTGTGTTCTAATCTGGACTCAGACACGTTCTAGCTGTATGACTCTGGGCAAGTCACTTAACCCCGATTGTCTCCAAAATAATAATAATAATAATAGTATCTTTGAGGCAGCGTCTTACATACAGTATTTTGTTTATAACATATTGTAGCCATTGTACGCCTGTAACTCATCTCTCTGTTGCCCTTGGGTGACCTGTACTTTGATTCTTCAGAGACTGTGATATTCCATGATCCACAGCCATCTTACATCAAATATTAACATTACAATGTTGGATAGTTAGATTTTTGTTTGGTGGCTAGGTGGTGCAGTAGATAGAGCACTGGGGCTGGGGTCGGGAAGATCTGAGTTCAAATATGGCCTCAGAGACTTACTAGCTGTGTGACACTGGGCAAGTCACTTAACCTGTCTGTCCCAGTTTCCTCATTTTTAAAATGGGGCTATTACTAACAAATAGCTCCCAGGGCTGTTCAGGAGGATCAAATAAGATAATCTTTATAAAGTACTTAGCACAGTTCCCGGCACACAGTAAGCACTATATAAATGTTAGCTGTTACTATTGTTGTTAGTATTTCAAGGAGAAGCTTGGCCTTGTTGAAAATGCTGGATATTTCAGAAATGCAAGGCAGTCCTCTATCTTCCTCCTATTCAGTTTTGAGTCCATTTCATTTTACATCTAAGGTTCTGGTCCAACACATACCGTGGAAATAATTGCTATTTCTACCTTCACAACATCCGTTGCTTCTGACTCCTCCTCTTTATCCACACAGGCACCACTCTAGCTCAGGCCCTCATCACCTCTTGCTTAGATTATTGCTATAGTCTCTTAATTGGTCTCTGTCTCAGGTCCCTCCCCACTGCAGGCCATCTTACACAATGCTGCCAAAGTGATTTTCCTTAAGCCTCCTTTTTGTGTCATAGATGCCTCTGGTAGTCCGGTAAAGCCTATAGACTTCTCAGAATAATATTTTTAAATGCATAAAAATACATAGGTCTACAAAGGAAAGCAGTTAGTTACATTGAAATATGGTTATCAAAAATTTTTTTTTATTTAAGTTGCCAGGCCCCAGGTTAAGAAACCCTGCCTTAAGAGCAAATATGACCATGTCACTCACCTTCTCAATAAATTACTGTGGCTCCCTATTACTTCAAGAATAAAATATGAACTCCTCTGTTTAGCTTTTTAAAGCCCTTCTCAATGTGGTGATAACTTATATGGACACTAGACTTTATTCAACTCTCCTGAACTTGTGATCCAACCAAATTAACCTTCTTTCTATTCCTCATATGTGGTATTCATTCTCCCAATTCCATGCTTTTGATTAGAATGCATTCCTTCCTCCCCTCTGCCTACTAGAATCTCTTTCTTTCTTCAAGACTTAGCTTAAGGGGCAGCTAGGTGGCACAGTGGATAGAGCACCAGCCCTGAAGTCAGGAGGACCTGAGTTCAAATTTGGCCTCGGAACAAACACTTGACACTTACTAGCTGTGTGACCCTGGGTGAGTCACTGAACCCCAATTGCCTATAATAAAAAAAAAAGACTTAGCTCAAGTACCATATCCTATGTGAGGATTTTCGTGATACCCCTAAATGTTAGGACCTTTCTTCCCTATCTACCTTGTATTTAACTACTTTGAATTTATTTGTATTTATTCCTTTAACATTTATTCTACATGTTATTACATATGTACTTTTCTCCCCCATTAGAATGTAAACTTCCTGAGAGTTGTTTTTATTTGTATCCCTGGCCCCTAGCATAGTGCCTAGCAAATAGTAAATACTTAGTAAATTCTTGTTCATTGATTGATGAAGCAGCTGGGTGATCGCCTAGCCTAGCTACGTGCATATCATGTTCTCAATAATAGGCATTCTCATTCACTTGGTTTTTCCTCTGTGCATTGTTAGTCTGAATTCTTCAAAGTAATTGAGCATCTCATTTAGGACAGGTCTACAGTGTTCTGGAATGACATGCAATGAGCACAATGTCATCGGAAAACAGAAGCATCTGGAAGACTTTACCTTCTATAAAGAATCCCTCTTCCATTTGAATTCTGGTCTGGACATCCTCCATGACAGTAACAAGACCTTTATCAAGAATGTATCTCCTTGTTTTATTTTTTGCTTGATGTGAGTGGTAGAACTCTATGGATGTATCTCTCAAGGGTTTTGTTTAGTCTTAGAGCATGCATGGGATACGTGTTGATAGAGGAGACCCCTTTAAGGGGGTGTTTGCTCTCCTGATTCAAATTTTGTTTCATGGTCAACAAATAAACAGAGTGGGGCCTTGTATTCCCTACACCTTTCTGTCAATTATGTGATTACAGAGAGGTGGCCTGCTCTAACATGTGGGGGGGGGAGGGCAGGGTTATGAAGCCAATGATCACTTACTAAGTGATTAACCCAACCAGACCAGGAAACTGTGTTTCTCTCTTAGTGCTGACCCATGATGGAATAACCTATCCAACATAATGATGGACTTCAGTTTTAGAAATTGAGACAACCAGGATGCTACTCAAAATCATTGTTCTTGGGAATTTGTAAGTTTGTCTTTTCCCAAAGCCACTACTTTTTACAGATCATAAGATCATAGAATTCAGAACAGAAAGATGACCTTATGGGTCATCAAGTCCAACCCATTCATTTATTTTACAAATGAGGAAACTGAAAACCAGAGAAAGAAAATGATTTGATCAGGACAAGCCTTGGTCCTCTGATTCCAAATGTGGTAACCTTTCCTCCTGCGCAATCATATGTTTTTCCAGTGGGTAAATCAGATGAATGTTCATTTTGTGAGAGATTATATAATTGAAGGTAACTTTGGAGTTCTGAAAAGCCAGGAACCATAGTAGCTTTCCCCCCATAGATTTTTTTCACATTTATTTATTTTATTTTTCATTTATGGAATAAAACAAGTATTTTCATAACATAGTATGATAAAAAAGATGATTGCACATGGAACTGCAAGCCTGTTATATACAACTTGCTTTTCCTTTTAAATATATAATAAAGTTATCATGTAAATTTCTTCCCTCCCTTCCCCCGATGGCTGCAATTAGATACAAATATATATGTGTATGCATATATATAAAACATATATATACCTATACATATATGTAAAATTATTCTATACATCTACTTATCAGTTCTTTCTCTGGATGCAGATAACATCTTTCTTCTTATGTCCTTTAAGGTTAATTTGGATATTTATTGTAGTCAAAATGACTTATTCATGCAAAGGTATTCTTAAAACAATATTGCTGTTACTGCATATAATGTTCTCTTGGTTCTGCTCATTTTGCTCTTCATTATTTCATTTAAGTCTTTCCATGTTTTTCTAAGATCAATGAGCCCATCATTTCTTATAGCACAGTAATATTCCATCACTATCATATACCACAACTTGTTCAGCCATTCTCCCATAAATTACTTAAGATCAAGTGACTCTTCCAGAATCTCACAGCTAATAAGTATCTGGGGTGGGATTCAGACCCAAGCCTTCCTGATAAGTCCAACACTCTATCCACTCTCTCATATCTGGGATTGTAAATGAACCCATTTTGCCCTTAAACAGGAATACCCAGATATTTTCCATGCTGCCAATGTTCTTCCCTTTTGAGCAGTCACATTCCAAGCAGACTAGGCTACAGACATGTGAGATGGGGGTCTTAGGGAACAAGATCTTGTTGCTAGGGAAGTGGTAAGACCCCCTAGCCTCATGAAGCATTGCTTGCAATTATCTCAGTGGAGAAATGACAGCTGCTTCTACAGGTGTGCATGGAGGTATTCATGGAGTATACTTCCTTAGAGAGTTCAAAGTCACCATACAAATTCACTGGAGAGCAGGGGCTCATGCATTACTTCTACATTGTGAAAATCAACTTTTAGAATAGACAATACAATTTCTTCAGTCACCACTGTGCTTAATCAGTAGAATTACAGTTGCTTGGTGGGTAGCTTTCCCTTTGGGTGGGGACAGGGACCAGGAGGCTAATTTACCATCCATTTTGGTACAAATCCACCTTCATTCACCCCCTTCATGAGAAGCAGCTCTTACCTGTTCCCTCTTAAGTTAAGGGACATAGAGATAGAGTTTGAAAGGATTTAAACAATTACCCAAGGTCACCTGGAAAAGACAGAGTCTGAACTCAGGAGCTGAGAGCTCCTGCCCTCTTTCTATTTCAATCCTTTATGATTGGTGTTATCTCTACCAGTTTTTGGGGGGTTTTTGTTTTGTTTTTTTTGGCTTGTTTTATTTTGCTTTTGGAGAGGCAATTGGGGTTAAGTGATTTGCCCAAGGCCACACAGCTAGTGAGTATCATATGTCTGAGGTCTGATTTGAACTCAGGTCCTCCTGACTCCAGAGCTGGTGCTTCATCCACTGCGCCACCTAGCTGCCTCCCTACTTGTTTTTCTTGCCCAATAGGGACCCAGTTCCAATGTCCTAGTAAGAAGGAAGCTGGTAGTTCACCAATAGCTTCAAGCTCTGGCTCTGAGATGCTTCTTAGTCCCTGAGGAAATCATAGACATACTGATGTACATCTCACCTAAGAGAGAGCATGTTGAAGGGGCGGGAGCACGCTGAGGGCGGAGTGCTCAATCCTCTAGTGCCAACAGCAAAAGGGTGGAGAACCTTTTTTTTGGAAGGATCCCTGACCTATGAGAAAAATATAATAAACCTAGGAGCAAAAATACATAGAAGGAATTTAATTAAAAGGGATTTAAAGATTGTTTTTAGATAGATACTTATTCAATTCACCCATATTTAAACAGGGGACAGACAGAGCAGGTGTCAATAAGTATTGATTGACTGAATGACTGTGATCCTGCAATGGGCCTGTAATGTCACTGATATGAGCATTCCTTCCAACAATGCAGATAGAAAACCATCCACATGTGCCTTCCTGCATCACTGTGTCTGCACTAGCTCATAAATCTGCCATCGGTCGCCATTCCCAGGTAGGCAATAATGATGACATATTTGATTGAATAAGTATCATAAATAAAATATATGCATAGCTTTATAAATTTTTCCAGTTCCATATTACAGTCAGCTAAAGGAGAGAGACAAAGAGACTTCTCTGAGTCTGTTTTTCCAGTAGTGAATTAAAGGGCTCTCCTGGATGTCATGCTGGCTTCCAAGATTTTTTCTTTTTCTAACTTTTTATATTTTATAAAAATTATCTTGGGCTCTGTGTTGGTTTTTTTTTTAAGTCTAGGGAAAGAGAAGGAGAAAGAGAAGGCATATTTGACCCTTGCAACAATCCTGTAAGGTATATAGTACAAATATTATCCCCTTTTAACAGATGAGGAAACAGTCTTCTAGAGGTTTAAAGGACTTTCTCATAGTCACACAGCTACTCACCAAGAAAGGATTGTTTTTTTCTGTATCTTTTTTCTCATTTATTATAAACTTAACAATCAAACAAACAAAAAAGAGTATCATATGTAAAATGGTGAGCTTATATAAATTGGGGGTTTTTTAATGAGTGTATAGTAAATTTAAATTTTTGATTTGTTTTGTTTTTGAGACTAATTTTTCCTATCTCACTGAAGCTGGAAGAAAAAACAGGTGCTACTCAAAGACCATCTAAACTTTCCCTACATGAGTCGGGTTGCTTCTCCTTAGGCATTGTGGTGGGCCCCTGCTTTCTTGGCTTCGTCATTTTGGTGACATCTGAACAGCTTCAATCCTACTACAGCTCAAAGCTCCTAGACTCAATGGGGCCACCAGCCTCAGCCTATCCAGTAATGGGGATTACAGGTATGCACCACCACAGCCAGCAGTGTATATTCAATTCAACACCAATAGCCGTAAAATTGCCTTGTTGAGTGTCCCCTTCTGAACTTTTTTTTTGCTTTCTTCTAATTTTTAAATGTTTTATCCATCACTACTTCTTTATTTTTTGTATCTCTATTACTACCCACTAACTGATCTCTAGTCTTACCACTCCAAAATAAAAGCCCTCCCTGGTAACAAGTAATTGAGGTTAAACATGACAACTCAACACAGTGTCCAAGTCTGAAAATGGACCTCTCCTGCTGGACTTGAAGCCTACCGCCTCTCTGTCTAGAAGTGGAGGGTATGGCTCATTATCAGATTTTCTGAAATCACTCCTGGCACTACATACATCTCTCCATCCTCTAAAACACTCTGTGTCTAGAATAGGAGATGGAGGGGGAGGCCATAACACATCTCAGAAGTTTCTGAATGGAATGCAATCAAATTGAGATGCTTTTGTCTACTTGCTGTGCTTTATTTGCTTCCATCAGTCAGTAACTTAAATTATCACTGTCCTTTAAAATTCTGATTAGGGTTTTTATCAAACATTCCCTGGGTGTTGAATGAGGGAGGGAGAGTCACTGGAGACTGAAAAGCTGTGAAGTGAACAAATATCTCTTGCCCTGCTTGCCTGAATTCTGCCCCAGGCAGGGAGTTTGCCCCTTAGATCAATTCACCAGCTCCAGCTTGTAACTGGTATGGATGGCTTTGGCTGATCCTTCCTCATTCCCACCGCTGCAAAAAAAAAAAACAAAAAACAAACCCAAAAATTTTATATCCATTTTTTTTTCACTTAACTTTCCATATGTTTTGTGTTGACATGATTGTTTCTTCCCCATAGAATGAGAGCAGAAACTACTTTTTGGTCCTATCTCTAACACTTAACACAGGGCCTGACAATACCATACGATACATAAACATTTATTAAGCACCTACCACGTGTCAAGTACTGTAGTAGGCACTTAACAGTTTCATACTGAATGAATGAATTGGATGAATGATCAGTGACTACAAGTTGGAAAGCTAACTTGTCCTCAATAAACAGTCCCACTAAAACAACTAGTCTGTGCTGAGTTAGCCACTTCCAACACTATCCTCTTGCTTGCTCATTCCTAGGGGGACCTACCTTGTGAGCCCTGTTAATATAGGGAAGGGCTCATAATGAATCCAGTGTTCAACAGAAAAATGGGCCTGAAATCATCGACAAAGGTGTTTTTACTGGACAATAGTATTGCGTTGAATAAGTAGAAATTCCAGCAGGGGCTAGAAGGATTAACTCTAGTCATGGGGAAGATGCATTGAAATTGTTAGTCATGTATTTTATTGAGTACACATTACAAATAAAACATATATGGGCATGTATGAATTTTCCATTTCCATATTATGGCCACCTAAGGGAAATGGCAAAGACAGCTTCTTTGAGTCTCAGTTTTCTGAAATGCAAGTTGAGGGTTCATTCTAGATGACCTGTACATCCTACAAGATTGTTCCATCTCTAACATTATATGATCTTAGGCTGTGTCTGGGTGTAATGCTACTAATACACAGGCAAGTAGCTCCACCGGCTCCATTGCTCAAGCAGCGAGAGCCTAGGATCTGCCTACGTCTGCTGAAAGCACGTCTTGGACCTCTCGGGTGTAGTGTGGCCTTTAGAAAGCAAGTTGTGTCTTGCCAAAGTGGTGGTTAGAAGGAGGCCAAGTGTTAGATTGAGATCATTAATCCACAGCTTTGCTAGTAGATACAGGGTTTAGGAAAGGAAGGCATGGCCCTGTCTTCACAGAGCTCCCAGTCTTGTAGGTATGTAAGGCACATATGCAGATAATAATACTATACTTGTTTAATAAGCAAGTGGGGACTCTCTGGTGATCATAGTTGCCTGAAATAGGAGGTACAGGTACTTTTGATTCAGTCCTATTTGAAGCAAATGGAATTATTAGCAGTCCCAGAGACTGCTGGATGACCTCCATAGAACAAATGTGGCTAATTCCCCAAATACCAAAACATGCAGCAGAATTCCCAGGACTATCAGCAGCTACTACCATTTCCTTTCTGTCCCTGGGAAAGTGGGGAGGGAAATGGAACTTCCTCCGCAAGCATCCAGGCAACTCCCTTATTGCCCTGGGGACAGCTTCCCTGCCACCCCCCACTCCCCCCATAAGGGGGAGAGGAGCCAGCATACCAAGTGCCATCTCCAAAGCAGTCCTACATCATAGATTTAGTCACTGGAATTTCCCATGAGGACCAACAGTTTGGCAGTATCTGCGAGCATTGGAGGAGGGTCTAGTCTACAGGGATCCTGAGCCCTCTACGCTCTTGTCCTCAGAAACCCAGATCTCTTGAATTCCTTTGAGACTTTTGTAATATCCAGGATTTCAAAGTTAGGAGTGAGACCCCATTGCCCGGACCCTTTCCCCAGATGGATTCAGATCTTCCTTGAGATGCAGAATGCCAGGAAAGGGAAGTTCTGTCTGGGGATGGGGAGGTTCCTGGCCCAAGATGAAGAATGCATTTTAATAGCTAACATGGAGAACTTGATGAATTACCCTTCACCACCTCCTGAATGCATGATTCAGATGTTTCAGGTCTTGTATCTGATATGTAGCAGGTAGGAAGGAGATTCTGGGTAAATAAGGATTGGCTCTCTGTCCTAGGGGAAGATGATAGTCTGGGTGGGACTCAATCATGGGATCATGGATGGAGAATTAGGTCATGTAGTCCAACTCCTTCATCTGTAAGCTGAGGGATCAGAGGCTAATTCGGTCAGTTAAAACACATGTATTACAACTTACAACAAATTGCTTGCCTTCTCAATGAGAGGGGAGGGGAAGGAGGGAGAGAATTTGGAACTCAAATTTTTTAATTTTTCTAAACTAGGAACAAGGTAGTTAAGTATTCAGGAAGACCTGAGTTCAAATTCTGCCTTTGATACTTTGACCCGTACTAACTGTATGACCAATGGCAAATCCCTTAACTTCTTGGAACATCAGTTCCCTCATCTATAAAATGTGAGACTCACTTTAGCTAATACAAGCGAACTTTAAAATGGTACGTAAATTTCAATTAATAATAATGATAACATTGTATGGTACAGACATTAAGTGCTATAGAAGTTCAGAGAAAAAGGACATCAGTAAAGTCTACAGTAGTCAAGGAAGGCTTCATGAAGACATAAAACTGACCAAAGTCCAAGATCACCAGACTAACTTTTGTAGACTCAATTCTTCAATTTTTATTTTATTTTCTTAAATTTACATCTGCTCTTCTCCAATCTTGCAGCATATTTCATTGTCCATGATCTTTCCACAGATGACCAGCAGTGATTCCACAATCATATGACCTATTTATTTTGTTATTCCTTCCTGGTGACTTGAACTTCTTGTGCAAAACAAGGTACTCTCTTACCATATTTTCACTTATCTTAGGTTTTAACTTTCTTATAACAAGTTTTGTTATAACTTCATAGAGGGAAAGAAACTTTTACTTTTGCCTTTTTTTAATTTTAATTTTTAATTACAACTGTATAACAGATCTTTTTTTCAATGTTTTCTTCTTTATATTTGCCCTTCTCCTTTCCAACTTGTTGGGATTTGGCTTTACGCTCAAGAATCTTTTTGCGATCTTTATCCAGTTTTAGTCTGGTGATACCTACCTTACTAGGGTGAATGCCCACATGGACAGTTGTGCAGTAAGCTTTTTCACACTGCACATGCTCAGTGTAGATGATGTATTTCTTTCTGTAAACCTGGACTACCTTGCCAATTTGCTGACCTTTGTAGTGTCCCCGAACCACCTGGACCTCGCCGTCCTCCCGGATGGGCATCGAGTGGACGTTGTACTTCTGCCTCAGCTCCTTGGAGAGCGGGGACGACATGATCTTGTGCCAGATGTGCGAGGGTGTATTGAAGTGTCTCTTGCAGTTCATGCTTCGGTCCAAGGTCACGAATGGATTGAACTTCATTTTGGTGAGGGGGACCACCTGAAAAGAGCTGTTTTTGGCTTTTTATTAAATGTATATTATTGATTAAGTAGAGAATACATGCCTATTGATTGATTGATTCTATCCTTTTTAGTCTGAAAATAATTTTCCCTGGCAGAGAAATTTCACTTATGTGAGTACTCCCTCCAATAATGGAGATGGCAGCTAATGCATGACTATCTATTTTATGGAACTCTTGTTCGTGATTCCCATAGGTTTGCAATAGGGGGTCAGCCTAATGTATTGACCACCTTCCTTGTATTCTCTTGACATAGTGAAAATACTAAGGGAGCACATGGATTGTCCATTAGTTATCTCTCACTCTCACCATATGACCAGCCCATCTTTTTTGTTCATAATTATCTTCAATAGTATATCTTATATAAATTTTCTTCTGTATAATCTCTTATTTGTTGTAAGTCTCAACCTGCTCACATCCACTATACCCCTATCCTTTTCAGCAATCCTCAAATGAAATTTTTTGGAAACAGTAATATTCTATAACTCGTAGTCACTGAACATCAATAGAAAATAGAAGCAAAATAAGAATTCAGTAATTTTGCCTCTTCTCTATTATCTATATGTAAGAATAACTCTCTCTCTCTCTCTCTCCCCCCCTCCTTCAACTCTCCTTTCTCCTTCTCTCTCTTTACCACCCTCCCCCTCAACTTATGTCATAAAAGACTCTGGACCACCAGTAGCAAACACTGTTTTCTTCTGGGATCAGAGACACTGGGCTAATAAAAGACAGGAGCTGGAGACAAAACAGATATAAAAAGACAGCATTCTAAGAAAGGAAGCAATATCAAGGAACATGACCCCTATACCAGAGAAGAATACTAGAGAAAAAGAACTTCCAGTGTATACATTTCTAGAAGCTATGAGTTACCCCATATATAAGTATGTCCTACATATGTACCTCATTAGCATTGTACTCTAATTATGAACACATGCTTCCCATATATCTATATGTATTTGTGGAGAATGTGCCCCAGGCTTT